TGAAAAATATATCGTTAAAATATCAAAGATGCCGTTCTTTATGGTCCACCCGTTATGAAGTTTCGATCCCGATCTTATGGATATTATAATATCATTTTTGAACAATTTTTAGGTGTTCTTCTCCTGGACGTATTCTCGTATTCTCTCCATTATAATATCATTTCCTTCTATTCAGATTCCAAGAATATAACGGTCGCGAGAATAGTTATTCAGATTTAATTGACTTTGATTAATTAGCGAAAGTTCTATGCTCGGTATCTTTTAGAAATTCGTATAAACAATGCTTTATCAGATGAAATATGTCTTTTACGAACATATTTCCAAATAATTCCAAAATTTACCTTGATTTCTTGGATGTAACGATGTTTTTTCATCATTTTTCGAACATATATTCGAAAGCGCAATTTTATTATATTCTTTTATCATTCCATCTTGTTGTCGCTGTGTCGTTGCATATGAAATAGAAGACGCAGCGAATCGCGGCTCCGCATAAAGTACACATCGCCTCGTTGATATTTCATTAGTGCCCGAACATTCATCGCATTGCCAAGTGCTTTCCTTTCTTCCAACTGTATCTTGGATTCTTGCTGCTGTAGGAACAGATGTATACATTCCTGCCTAGAAATATGTATAGAATTTTACTAGTCTAATTTTGTATACTTATATATAACATAGTAGTGATCATGTACTCGAAATAGACTCAAATTCGAGTATTTATCTTTTATCTAACAAGGGAAACTCTTCACATATCCCTCTTCAATTTCAATTATTTTAACTCATAGATACTACATCGAATTCTAGTGAAATCATAAATGAATTTGAGTTCTTATTGAAACTTAACGAGTTGTTGCATTGTTAATATATCTACCAGTCAGAAGCCTATATAAAACTCCAGGTTTCCTGAAAAGTCCTGTTTTTGAACTTTGCCATGAAACTCTCTTCAGTCAAACGTCTCTTATACAAACAAAAAGGTCTCTGTCAAATATGCATATTAAACATGTAATAGCTCGTTAAATTTCAATAGAAACTGAAATCCTTTTGAACTTTTCTCTAGAACACTACTTATATCATTGAAATCAGAACGGAGTAGTTGACGTGAATATTTGATGAATCCGAAGCTTTATTCACCGTTTTGAAATAGAAACTCATCACTCATACAGGAAATCCGATGCCACATCCGAAGCAAGAAAAATTAAGAGTTCGCTTAGTTCTCATTTTCGAGAGAACACATTGGACTATCTGCCTATGAAAAAAAACTGATAGATTGGTATCTCAGTTTCCGGAGATCCGGACTTGCTTTCAAAAGATCCTCTACAAAACCGGTCTTCTGAATGCTGTCGAAAAACTGTTTTGCTTATAAAAACATAGGCTAAACTGTCCTCTTCTCATCGCTGAAAACCGCTGGTCTCTAGCTTTTGTCGTCTTTGACTTAATGATCATACGCTAATTAGTGTGTCTGGACGGAACGTCGCGAAATATTTTTCTCCAACATTCGAGAACTATTTCATTTACGTGCTCTTCTCAGGATAAGATTTCTTGTTAAACGCACTCCTAATAAGATGGCTGATTTTTTCTCGGTTGATACCTGGGACATTTATACTGAAAGTTAAATCGTCTGCAATGGGTTGATCACGATTAGAAAACTGAGATGTTGCCTTCAACTTGTCAAAATCAATTCAAGTAGTCGGAAACTTTAGTGAGCAAAACTATGATGTCTAATCAATACAAATAGAAGAAACGCTAGCATTTTCATATTCCATACTCCGATAGTGGTGTCTTAGATAGTTACAGACAAAATGGCAAGGAATCTTCTCAATATTTTAACCCTAAAAATTATTTATTATTTAATAATTTTCCCTTGTTGAATCTTCTCGTTTACTGCATCTTTGTAACTTTGAAAAAATAGTGCATTCGCAGGTTATTCATGTTTTATTCTGGAAAATAAAAAGAGATTTATGGTTTCCAGTCCACGGACTATTTTCCCTTCCACTATTTATTAATCAATACTCACGTCTAACGACTACACGACGGCCCATCACTAGATATAATTCGACATTGTTTCATTGACGTCGATATTTTTCTTCACTTCTCATTTTCTTATCCTGGTGGCAGATAATTTCTTAACAAACTTGTGCAGTTCGTGTGCGTTTTTTCAAAGTAGCATTATATTGTATAAGAAAATAAGTAATTTATAGAGTAAGTAATGAGAGGATAGAGAGGCACGGTGTCGGCTGTTTGTCAGTAGTGGCTTTCAAGATATTACGATGGTTCGTTAGATGATCCTAAATGAATTGCACGGATCCGATAAATTACCAGAGCCATATGGTAATGGGGTCTATAGACTAATGTTAAAAAGAAAAGTATTAAACGACTAATATTAAAAATCCATTAAATATTTTTCCATATTATATTTAAGCAGGGGTCGGACCCCACAAAAGGTACTGTTAAACCTTCTTGACAGCATGTAATGGGAGAAAGCCCGATTTGCTGTATTTTTTTTGAATAAAAATTCAACTGCTTAAAAAAAACAAAAAAAACTTCTCAGATTGTAGAGAACACTTACTGCATATATCCTGAACTGGTTTCGGGGAAGCGATAAGTATTGATGGAGTTATAAATTAATTAAGATCAGGTTTTAGCAAAAAATTTAATTGCTAGGCCTATTTTTAAAAAGCTTACAACTCAGTCAAAAACAGTCGTAGAAACGTCGTTTTAGCGTAGTTTAGTAGCCAGTGGTCCATAGTTATAATTAACGTCCTTCTACAATAAGCGTTTAATTGAACATCAAAAAGTTAATATTTGCGGTGTACCTGATCTGTCTGATATCAGATTTAAATAATATTCAATCGATATATATACTCGTACGACATCCTTCAACTGCTTTTCCTTTCATATTGTATCTATCAATGGAAGAGTATGTGGCCAACTTTACTAGTTTAAGAATTTCTGGGTTCTTATTTACAGGTAAAAGACGTCAGCAGTATTTTTTAGATTTTTGTTGACTGTTCGGTTTACAATGGCAGATAATAATAAATGCAGTGTTGAATGGTGTGACTTACAAAAATATGTATTGAGTTTTGGATTCGACGCGAATATAATCGAAAGTTGTCCAGCATTGAATATTGCTTTGTGCGCGTTATCAAAGATTCTAACAAACGATCATCTCCTATTGAATTTTAGTGCCCATTTTATTCCATTCGAACAGTACACTGGACAATTTCCTGTAAGTAATGCACAGCAAGTCTAAATAGAAAAATGTCAACTCATTTTGATTCTCTAGAGTGACGTGCATGAGTCCGTTAGAAATCAAATAAAAAATGTCTTTACTGGAAAAAGTTTACCGTCAGTTATTACTCAAGAGGACAATGATTTTCCTGTATCAATGCCAGGTACTGTTTATGGAGCTTATTGTGGACCTGAACATGAAGGAGACGAAGAAAAGATCTATATAAATAAACAAGTAAGAATGTAGCATATGGTTGATGTCTTTTATAAGACCGTTTTCTTTAGATAGTACACTCTAACAAAAAGCGTTTTCTCGGGAACCGGATGTGGTTCGGAAATTCGCTGGAATACCCTCTTCGGTATCTGGAAATGTTTCTACAAAACACTTCGGTTTTGGAATCATTTGCGTTTCCGAGAGAACCCTTTGTTTTAAGTTCTTTTATGTATGATGCAAAGTTCAGTCGCGTCACAAAAGCTAATCGTTAGAGTATC